ACCGCTGACCTCCGCTCCTCCACCCCCTCGGCTCAGTGCAGCCTGGGAGCTGCATCTCGACGGTCGGGGACTCTTGCGGGCCGACGAGCCCGCCTCTTCCGCCGCCGCCGTCGCCGCCGCCACGCAGGGCGGCTAGGCGGGCGAGGCGGCCCCCTGCGCCCGACCGCCAATCTGGTCGACAAGTTTCGGCAGGCAAAGAGGTGCGTCAGGCTAGCGGCTCTCTCTCTCTTTCTCTGTGCTCTGGCTCGAGCGCTCGGGACTGATGCATGTTGCATTCGCGCTCGCACGTGCAGGAAAAGAAGCGCAAAAGGCTGAGGAGCCAGTTCTCGTCGACTTGACGCAGCCTCCCGCTTTCCTCTCCCTGTCTCTCTCTCTCGCCCCTCTCTCACTCGTTCTCCCTTCCTGTTGTGCAACTACTCGTCATCGGTCGTCTTCGTCGTCGAGATGTGTTGAGAAGGGTGCGTTACAGCGCGAGAGAGAGGGAGAGCGGTACAACAAGGGAGAGCTACACAGAGAGAGAGAGACAGAGGGCCGCTCACGACGCCTCCCACTCTCCGCCGGACGCGAGGCTCGCAAAGACGCCGTGCGGCTTGGCGCGCAGCTCTGCGACGGTGCCGCTGCGTGCGCGAACGAGAAGGAGCGAGTCAGTGCCTGTCGACCGCCTGCCGCAGAGAGAGAGAGGGGGGGAAAGAGAGGGAGAGGGGGACGCACGTCTCGGCGACGACGCCATCTGCAACGACGACGATCCTGTCGCACTGCTCCATGACGGCGAGCTTGTGCGTGACGATGAGGGTCGTCCTCCCTTCCTTGACCTCGAGGAGCGTGTCCATGACGGCCCTCTGGTTGGCCGGGTCGAGCGCGCTCGTGCACTCGTCGAGGATCAACAGCTCCCTCGCCGGGTGCCCAACCAACGCGCGCGCGATCTGCAACCGCTGCGCCTGCCCGCCACTGATCAGGCTCGCGTTGTCGCCCAAGCTCGTGTCGTAACCCTCGGGGAGCTGTTGGACAAAGTCGTGGATGTGGGCCTGGCGCGCCGCCGTGACGACGTCGGCGAGGACGATGCCCTCGGGTCGGCCGTACGCGATGTTGTGCGCGACCGAGAGGTCAAACAGGGCCGGGTGCTGCGACACGACGGCGACGTGCTGGCGCAGTACCGCACGTCGGTCCGGTTCAGCGGCCGGTCGTCGAGGAGGACCGTGCCCGACGTTGGCTCGTACAGTCGCTGGAGGAGCGCCGCGACCGTCGACTTGCCCGAGCCCGACGCGCTGCAGGGCGGCGGCGACAGGGTCAGTCTCAGTCTCAGGCGCTCGTGAGGGGGGATCAAAAAAAGAGAGAGTGGGACGCACCCGACGATGCCGACCGTCTCGCCCGGCTGGATCTCAAAGCTGATGCCCTTGAGGACGGGCACGTCGGGCCTCGTCGGGTACGCAAACGCGACGTCGTCGAACCGGACGTGGCCCGCGATCGGGAACGTCATGCGGCCCTCGGACTCGCGCGTGTCGTCGCTCAGGTCGAGCAGGCGCACGAGGTCGTTGGCGGCCCGCAGGCACTTGGCCATGCCGGGCACTGCGAGGGGGGCGCACGAGAGAGAGTCAGTTTGGGAAGGTCCGCACGGACCCCGAGAGAGACAAGGGGCGACGACGACGACGCACGGTAGTTCATGAGGCCGCTCGAGAACGTGACGGTAAAGATGATGATCGAGAACACCTGGAGCATCTTGCTGAATGAGTACCGGCCGCTCGTGACGAGGATGGCGCCGATGTAGAGCATGAGGGCTGCGAGGCGAGGAGAGCGAGAGTCAGTCCGGGCTCTCGCAACGAGAATGCGAAAGAGGAGGACGCACCCTCGGTGAGGTACGTGAGCGTGTTGACCGACGCAAAGCCGGCGGCCGTGAACGGCGCCGCCTTGACGCCGCCGGCCATGGCGGTGCGCGCCGAGTCCTCGAACGTGTTGGCGAAGACCGACTGGATCGACATGCTGCGGATCGGGCGAATGTTCGAGATGGTCTGCGCGACGCGAGAGAGGCGAGTCAGGCTCGGGACCTAGAGTCGAAGGACCCGGGAAGGAGGGCGAGGAGGCGGGACGCACCTGGTGGAACCGCTTCGAGACGTTCTCGCGCTTGAGCTTGTTGGTCTGCTCGAGGCGGTTCAGGACCGACGTCTGGGCGCGCACGATGACGACGAGGACGGGCACGAGGCCGAACCCGACGAGCGTGAGCTCCCACCCGGTCGCGAGCGCCCACACGATGCCGACCGTGAGCATCGACGCGAGGACGCACAGCTGGCCGATGAGGGTGCCGACGAGCGTGCGCGCGTCCTCGGCGTCCTTGACGATGCAGTGCGACAGGCTCGACGTCGAGTTCTCGGGCTCGTCGAAGAACGACTTGTCCTGCTTGATGACGAGGGCGAGGGCGCGGCGGCGCAGCGCCGTGCACCAACCCATGGCGCACCGCTCGAGCGAGTAGAACTTGATGAACGTAAAGGTGCCCTCGCAGAACGCGACGACGAGGATGACGACGGCCGACGTCGTGATGAGCGAACCGGCGTCCGGGTTGCCGAGGTTGCTCATGACCTTGGACAGGAACGTCGAGAACAAGGGCGTGAGGGCGCCGGCGAGGACCGAGAAGACGATGCCGTTCAAGAACAGGAGCTTGTTCGGGATCGTCGACCAGTACCGCTTGCACAGCGCGCCGAGGCCCATCATGGGCTTGAGCGCGTCCAGGGCGGCGCCGACCTCGACGACGACCGTCGCGCCGCCCTCAGCCGTCGACTGGCCCGCCCACCGCTGCAGCTCGGCCTCGGTCAGGGTGCGGTGCTTGAGGCGCGCCGTGCCCGGTGCCCGGCCCGACCGCCGGCTCTCCATCGCCGCCGCGCCGACCGTCTCGAGCGCCTTGAGCGACATCTCCGAGTTGGTACGGCTGAGCGTCTCGAACGGCGAGCGCGACGCCGACGAGGTCGAGTCGCCCCCGGGCGCGGTCGGGTCGAACGCCGGGAGGAGCTCGGTCGCTCCGAGGCGCGACGACGGCCGAGACGCCGGCGACGGCGAGCGCGAACGACGCCCGCCGCCGCCGTCGCTGCCGCCCGAGAGGCTGAACGCGGCCGAGACGCGGCGGGCGTCGCGCAGCTCGCGACTCGCACGGACCGCGCCGTCGGTCGCGACGCCGCCGAAGAAGAAGCCGGCCGCGCCGCCGGGCGACGAGAAGCGCTTCGAGCTGTCGCGCTCGTCGTCGTCGGCGCTGCTGATCTGGATGCGCGGCGTCGACATGGGCGACGGCTGAGCCGAGCGCTGCTGCGGCGGCGTGCGGGGCGTGCCCTGGACCGAGAACGGCGCGACGGGCTCGTCGAGCTCGCCGTCGTCGAGGATCTCGGCCTCGTCGTCGAACTCGCCGCCGTCAAAGTCGTCGGCGGCGCCGAGGAACGGCGACGAGTGCGCCGCCGGCCCGTGCTGCGTCGCCGCGAGCGTCGCGAACGGCCCGCTCGCGTTCGACTCGAGGTCGGCGCGGTAGCCCTGCTCGACGACTCGGCCCTCGGCCATGACGTAGACAAAGTCGTCGGCGCCGATGGGCGCGAGGTCGTGCGTGATGACGATCGTCGTGCGGTTGTCGCGCCAGCGCTTGACGGCCTCGTTGACGAGCAGGCGCGAGGTCGCGTCGAGCGCCGAGGTCGCCTCGTCTGCGCAGGGTGAGGGACACTGTCAGTACGCGCTCGAGAGAGGGAGCGTGCGCGCGAGGAAAAGGGAGAGGGAGGACGCACCGAGGATGAGGACGGTCGGGTTGCGGATCCACGCACGCGCGATGGCGAGCCGCTGCCGCTGCCCGCCCGACAGGCTCGCACCCTTCTCGCCGCTCAACCACGTGTCGTAGCCCTCGGGCAGGTCGCGGATAAAGTCGTGGATGAGCGCGCCGCGGCACGCGGCGACGACCTCGTCGCGGGTCACGTCCTCCTTGCGGCGGCGCGAGCCGTCGTCCTGGAGCTGGCCGACGACGCCGACGGCGACGTTGTCGTGGATCGAGCCGTCAAAGAGGACGCTCGCGCCCTGGCTGACGCACGCGACGTGGCCGCGCAGCCACTCGGCGTCGATCCACTCGAGCCCTTGCTCGTCGACCTCGACGTGGCCCGCGTCGGGCTCGTACAGGCCGAGGAGGAGCTGCCCGACGGTCGACTTGCCCGAGCCCGACGTCCCGACGACGTACGTCGTCTCGCGCGCGGCAAAGTACAGCGAGACGCCGTCGAGCGCCGGGGCGGCCGGCGCCGGGCGCGTCGGGTAGTGAAACGTGACGTTGCGCAGCGACAGCTCGCCCGAGAAGGTGGCCGGGCGCAGCTTGCCCATGGCGCGAGGTGCGGCGCCGCGCCGCCGAGGGAGGGTGCCGGCGCCGGCGAGCGGGATGAAGACGGGCGTGTGCGGCGTCGGCGACGCGACCGTGAACGGGTGCGGCGACAGCGGCGAGCCGAGCGCGCCCTCCTTGACGTCGGCGTCGTCGACGTGAGCGGCGGCGGCGGCGGCGGCGATGCGCGCCTTCTCGTCGACGGCCGAGTCGGCGCTCGCGCGCGCGCGCTGCCGCCGCCCGAGGCGCCGGATCGTGCCCGACGAGGCCGACTGGGGCGGCGTCGAGCGAGCAGCGGCGGCGGCGAGGGTCGCGACGGGTGCGGGCTCGTCGCGCGCGAGCGTGAGGAGGCCGGCCATGGCGACCTTGCCCTTCTCGAGCGTGACTAGGAGCGGGATGGCCGACTGGAGGTAGGTCGACCCGAGCATGCACGCCCAGAAGCACGTGTTGACCGCCGCCGCCGTCGACTGGCCCGTCGAGATCAAGTGGGCGCCGTACCAGAACCCTTGGACGAACATGGCCATGAGGAGGGTCGACGTGGCGCCGGCGCGCAGGCCCCACACAAAGTGCAGCTTGACGTACGACTGGAAGTCGTGCTTGGTGAGGTCCTTGAAGCCGTCGAGCTCGTACTGCTCGGCGTTGAACGCCTTGACGGTCGGGATGGCGCCGATGACGCGGTCGACGCGCGACGAGCACCGGCTCGTCGTCTCGCGGTTGCGGTTGGCGAGCGGGCCCGAGAACATCTCGGTGAGGGCGACGATCAACATGACGATGGGGATCGTCGCGAGGACGACGCACGCGACGCGCCATTCGCGGTAAAAGGCGAGGATGAGGCAGAACGTGGTCGCGGCGGCGTACTGCACGACGAGGCCGAGCGTCTGCGAGCACGCGAGGCGTGCGTCATCCGTGTCCCTGCAGCGAGTGACAGACCGAGTCAGTAGATGCCGCCAGAGGGGCTCATCGAGAGACAGAGGAGGGGACGCACTTGGTGAAGCGGCCCATGAGCCCTGCGGCGTCGGCCTTGTCCTCGCTCCCGTCTGCGGCGCCGCCCATGCCGCGGTCGAACCACGCGATGCCCTTGGACGTGATGCCGCCGTACACCTTGAGGCGGAGCGCATGTGCGACGCGCTCGCCGTGGACGACCCACAGCGACAGGCCCGTCGTCGACGTGACGAACACGATGGCGGCCGCGACCGTCAACTTGATCGACGTGTCGCGCATGGCGTGCATGAGGGTCGAGTTGGCCGCCGAGACGTCGGCGCCCGGCACACCGACGGCGAGCGCATAGTCGGTGAAGGCCTGCATGGCGTCGCCGAGCATCTGGGTCATGAACGGCGGCACGAGGCCCGACACGACGCCGCACACGAGCGCCGGCACGATCGTGCACCACAACGTGCGGCGCGTCGTGAGCGAGAACAGAAGGCGGAACGACGGCCGGATCGACGGCGGCTTCTTGCTGGCAGCGGATGCGGTCGCCGAGGGCGCCGACGGGTTCGACGCGTCCGAGCCGCTCGCCGACCCGGCCGACGCGGACGAGTAGCGCAGGTGCGCGAGCGGCGCGGTGCTGCCAGCGAGGTCGAGCGTCGGTGGTCGCCTGCGCCCGACTTGCGGCTCGAGCCCGCCCTCGTCGTCTCCCGCGCCGAGCTGCCACAGCACGGGCTCCTTGGGCGCTTCTGCGGCGACGATGTGGAGCGTCTCGGCCGACGCTGCGGCCGCGTGCAGGGGCGAGGCTGCCGACTCGGGGAAGAGGACGCGAGGCGAGGCGGTGTACGAAGGCGGGTGCGACGGGTCGAGCGAAGCGTCGAACGACGACTGGCCGAGGCGAGGGGAGCGGCCGTGGAGGGAGCTGGACCGAGGTGGGCTCGGCTGGAGGTACGGCGAGGCTCGTGGCGTCGCTACTCGGGAGCGAGGAGGGGTCGAGGGAGGGTAGGTCGCCATGCTCTGGTCGGGGACGCGGTGGAGCGAGACGAGCAGGGCGAGTAGGTGGACCGCAAGCTGGCTGGCATGGTCGCGGCTGCGCGGCTTGCGAGTGCCGTGGTCGAGACGAGGGAGACAAAGGCCGCCAACCCTTTGTTCACCGAGTGCGGGGTCCGACGCTGCCGGCAGCTCGCGCGTACCAGGCCGGCTCTGCGCTCCCGTGTGCTCTCCGTAACTAGTCTCTCTGTCGCTCTCGTGCGGACCAGTAACAGCAAGTGGGCGTGCCGAGCTCGAGAGGGCAGGAACCAGGCGCTGAGAGGAGAGCGGTCGTGCCACGACCTCGCAACGCAGAGAGTTCCGAGTTCTGCAGTGCAGCGGCATGTCCTCGTAGCTGCCTGCGCGAGACAGCACACAGCCCGAGTCGAGACGAGAGGAGCGACTCGAGGTCGAGAGCTGGCGGAGTCGACGCGAGAGGAGCGACCGCCGGTTGACTCGCCCTCTGTGCATGCTGCTGAAATCGAGTGCACGCCAGCTCTGCTCTACTCGACCCGGCTTCTCCCACAAGCACCCGACCCGCCTCGCCGCTCGCGCCCGAGCCACGACCACCTCCCGGCCCACCTTCATCTCGACTCGCTCCATGGCGTCGACCCAGCAGCCGCACGACGCGCCAAAGGCCGCCAAGCCGACCCAGGACTCGTGGCGCATCCCGACGCCGGCCTTTGACGAGCCCAAGATCAAGGTCTTCAACTCGCTCACTCGCTCCAAGGTCCGTTCCTCATCTCTCCCTCGCTCGACCTCCCAGAGCTGACACCCGTTGCGCGCAACAGGTCGACTTTGTGCCCAAGAAGCCCGGCGTCGTCACGTGGTACAATTGCGGGCCGACCGTCTACGATGCGTCGCACATGGGCCACGCCAGGTGCGTCCGCTCTCGCTCTACTGCGCGGCGTTCCTCGTCCCCGAGACCGTCGAGCTGAAGGTGCTGCGCTCGTGCACAGGAACTACATGGCGCAGGACATTATGCGCCGCATTCTGCGCGACTTCTTCGGCTACGAGGTCAACTTTGTCATGAACATCACCGACGTCGACGATAAGGTGCGCCTCAGTCTCTCCCTCTCTCCTTTCTGCCGGGCAGGAGGACCTCGAACTGACCCGGACGCTCCCCACCCACAGATCATCGTGCGCGCCCGCCAGTCGCACCTCCTCACCAAGTACCTCTCGGACCTCTCGACCTCGTCCGCCCCGTCATCTCGCGTCCTGCAAGAGGTCACCTCGGCCTGGACCGCCTACTTCCTCAAGGCCTTCTCGGCCTCGCTCGCCACCCCTCCCGCCGACGACTCGTTCGAGGCGGCCTCTGCTGGGTGGGCCGAGGTGCAGGCACGCGCGCGCGACGCGGCCTGGGTCGAGCAGGAGAAGGGCAAGAACGAAAAGTTCCCGATGTACTTTGCGGCGGTCGGCAGTGGGTTCGAGGCGGTCGAGGCGGCGCGCAAGAGGGGTGAGGGCTCGCTCGAGGACGCCAAGGCGCTCGTTGAGGCGAACAAGGACGCGATGGGCCTCTGGTTGGACAAGCAGGTGCGCCCCTCTTTCCCGACTCTCGTGCACCCTCGTCGCACTCGCGGGATCCTGACTTTTCACGCGTCCCGCACGTGCGCGCACAGTTCGGCGCGAGCGTGACCGACCCGGCCATCTTCCGCGACCTCGCCGCCTTCTGGGAGGACTCGTTCTTCCACTCGATGGCGGCCCTGCGCGTCGAGCGCCCGACGACGCTCACGCGCGTCTCGGAGTACATCCCCGAGATTGTCTCGTTCGTCGAGGGCATCGTCGAGCGCGGGTTCGCGTACGAGGGCGGCGGGAGTGTGTGGTTCGACACGGCCAAGTTCGAGGGCGCCGAGGGCCACAAGGGCGCCGAGGAGGGCGACGAGGAGTGGAGGCACACGTACGCCAAGCTGCAGCCGTGGAGCAAGGGCAACCGGGAGCTGCTCGAGGACGGCGAGGGTGCGTCCGACTCTTTCCCTCCTCTCTCTCTGTCTCCCGTGCGACGCACTCGAGGAGCTCACCTCTTGCTCTCCTCATGCAGGTTCGCTCACGTCGACGACGGGCAAGCGCTCTGCGTCCGACTTTGCCCTGTGGAAGTCGTCCAAGCCCGGCGAGCCGGCGTGGCCGTCGCCCTGGGGGCCGGGTCGCCCCGGGTGGCACATCGAGTGCTCGGTCATGGCGACGGCCGTCCTTGGTGAGGGCATGGACGTCCACTCGGGCGGTGTCGACCTCGCGTTCCCGCATCACGACAACGAGCTCGCGCAGAGCGAGGTCCGTCCGCCTCTCTCTCCCTCGGCCCGCGCACAGTCCCCCCTCTCGAACCCTCACTGACCACCTTGCCCTCCCTCGCAGGCGTTCCACAACTGCCGCCAATGGGTCAACTACTTCCTGCACACGGGCCACCTGCACATCGAGGGCCTCAAGATGTCCAAGTCGCTCAAGAACTTTATCACGATCGACGACGCCCTCGAAAAGTACTCGGCGCGCCAGCTCCGGTTCGCGTTCCTCCTGCAGAACTGGAACGCCCGCCTCGACTTCAAGGAGAGCTCGATGCAGGAGGTCCGCAGCGCCGAGTCTCTACTCAACGTGCGTCCTCGTCCTCTTCCTCATCCCCTTGCCCGAGTTGAGCTCATTCGAGAGCGAGCACGGCCCTGCAGAACTTCTTCGCGCTCGTCAAGGCGCTCGCGGCCGAGGCCAAGGAGCAGTCGGTCGCGTCGGACGGGCAGCACCACTACGAGCAGGCAGAGAAGGACCTCCTCGCCAAGTACGGCCCTCCCTCCCCCTCAGCGTCCTCTCAGTCGCGCTCGTGTCCTGACGGTCGACTCTCTCACAGGCTCGAGTCGGCCCAGCTCGCGTTCCGCGCCGCCCTGTGCGACTCGTTCGACACGCCGACGGCCCTCCAGACCCTGCTCGACCTCGTCTCGCAGACCAACATCTACCTCGCGCGCGGCCGCAGCAGCACCAACATCCGTGCCGTCCTCGCCGTCAGCGAGTACGTGACGCGCATGCTGCGCATGTTTGGCCTCGGCGAGGGCAGCCCGGTCGAGGGACCGGCGGGCGAGCGCGTCGTCGGGTGGGGCACGGCGCCGGTGCCGGGGCAGGAGGATGCAGGTGTCGACGTGCGTCCAGCTCTCTCTCTCTCCCTCTTTCTCCTCTCCTGCTCCCTGCGCCGACGTCCCTGACACCCTCGTCGCCGACTCGCTTCGCAGCGCGACGCCGTCTTGATGCCGTACCTGCGGGCGCTCTCGTCGTTCCGCGACCAGGTCCGCCAGCTCGCCATGTCGAACGCGGCAAGCTCCGACATTCTCGCCCTGTGCGACCGCCTGCGCGACGAGGAGATGGTCGAGCTCGGCGTCGCGCTCGACGACCAGGACGGTGCGTCCTCGCGACCCCTCTTCCCCTCTGGCCTTCTTCGGGCGACACGACTGACTCGTCCTCGTCCCTCTCCCCCACCTCGTGCGTCTCGCAGATGGCCGGGCCATGGTCAAGCTCGTCCCGGCGGCTCAGCTCCGTGCTGCTCGCGACGCCAAGGCGGCGCTCGCGGCCGAGAAGGCCGAGCGCAAGGCGGCCGCCGCCGCCGCCGCCGAGCAGAAGCGCCTCGAGCGCCTCGAAAAGGGTCGTGTCGACCCGCAGCACATGTTCCGCACCGACGAGTACTCGGCTTGGGACGAGGCGGGCATGCCGACCAAGGACCGCGACGGCAACGAGGTGCCCAAGAGCCGGACCAAAAAGCTCGCCAAGGAGTACGCCGCGCAGAAGAAGTGCGTCCTCTCTCATCTCTTTCTCCCCCACCCTCTGTTCCCTCGTGAGCGAGAGCGTGCGCTCACTCGAGCCATTTCTCCCCGCAGGCTGCACGACGAGTTCCTCAAGGAGCAGGCCAAGGCGCAGGCATAGAGCGTCGGCCTCGAGCGCAGCTGTCGTGCAAGGAACTACCTTCTCTGCGGCCCCCGAGAGCATCGAGGAGAGCGAGAGCGACGATGCGTGGGCTCGAGCGTGCCTCCCAGGTTCCGCTCGAGCGAGTCGCACACGGCGCCCGCTGCTTCCACTCGACACTCGACCCGTTCGACCTTCACCTGAACGCGCAAGCGAGAGCTGCTCGAGCCTGCGAGCAAGAGCTGACGCTCGACCCGCTCTCGGCACGTCGAGCTTCCCCGCACGTCGGCCCCGCCGCCTCTCGAGCCGACCCTTCTCTCTCTCTTCCTGCTCCCACCGCTCGCGCACAGAGACTGCAACAGCTGCAACTCGGCATCAGCTGCACCCCTGCATCAACCGCGCACCACCTCCACCCGCGCCATGCCGCCCTCGACCGCGAGACGACCTCTTCGCACCGCCGGCTGCTCCGGCAGTTGCATGGACCGCCGCGACGCCCTCGCTCGCCTCGCCAAGCTGCCCGACCTCGACATGATCCACGGCGACTGGCTCTCCGAGTACAACATGTCGGCGCGCGCCGGCGACCAGCTCGACCACTCGGACGCGTTCGAGGCCTCGCTCCTCGAGGCGCTCGAACCAGCTCTCGCCAACCTCGCCAAGAACTCGATCCGGTTCGTCTGCAACGCCGGCGCGTCGAGCACCCGCCAGCTCGCCGACCTCGTCGACAAGACGGCGCGCGCTCAAGGACTCGACCTCTCGGTCGCGTGGATCTCGGGTGACGAGGTGTGGGACAAGCTCGCCGAGGACATCAAGAAGGACCCGAGGGGCTTCACGTCGCTCACGACCGAGACGGGCATCCAGGACTGGGGCCACGCGCCCGTTTATGCCCAAGCGTACCTAGGGTCCGTCCTTCTCCCTCTCCTGTGTGCTCTCGCACAAATCTCACGTCTTGATTTGTCCTGCAGCGGCTTCGGTATCGCTGCAGCACTCGAGCGAGGCGCCGACATCATCATCTGTGGTCGTGTCGCCGACGCCTCGCCCCTCATCGGTGCTGCGGCCTGGTGGCACGGCTGGACGCACGACTCGCTCGACGAGTTGGCGGGCGCGTTCATCGGAGGGCACCTGACCGAGTGTGTGCGTCCTTTGTACCCTCTCTCGTCCTCGTGTCCGGGCTCGACGACCGGACTGACCTTTCCCCTTGTCCTTCTCCTCCCCTTCCCGCTCGTGTTGCAGTCCAACTACGTCACCGGCGGCAACTACTCGGGCTTCAAGCAGCTCCAGGGTCGTTGGGCGTACCTCGGCTACCCGCTCGCCGACATCCACGCCGACGGGTCGAGCGTCATCATGCTCGAGCCGGATCAAGCCGGCCTCGTCGACGTCGGTACCTGCTCGGCCCAGCTCCTGTACGAGATCCAGGGCCCCCTGTACTACAACAGCGACGTCGTCGCCGACTTGCGCACGGTCCAGTTCGAGCAGGTCGGCGAGAACCAGGTCCGCGTCTTTGGTGCTCGCGGCTTGCGTCCGCCGCCGACGACAAAGGTCGGCATCACGGCGCGAGGAGGCTTCCAGGCCGAGTTCCGGTACTTTCTGTGCGGCCTCGAGTGCGTCCTCCTCTCTCCCGTCGTCCCGAGGGAGGTCGAGGGAACCGACCCTCACGCCCTCGTCACCCTGCAGCATCCTCGAGAAGGCCGCCATGCTCGAGGCGCAGGTCCGAGCGTCGCTTCCTGATCGTGAGTCCCCTCAGTCACTTCTGCCTCGGGCACTCACAGCCTGACGCTCACGCAATCCCGCAGTCGACGCGTTCAGCCTTCTCAAGTTCACGGTCACGGGCACGCCGGGCGTCAGTCCCGAGAGCCAGGACGAGGCGACCGTCGAGTTCCGCATCTTTGGCCAAGCGCGAGAAGCCGACACTCTGAAGCCGGCCAATGTGCGTCCCTCGAGCGTTCACGAGCCTTTGTCGAACGTCCACATCGACTGACCGTCCTCGCCCGTGCAGTTCGCTCGCCCGATCATCGACCAGATCATGCAGGGCTACCCTGGCTCGACTTGCGGCGCCGACACTCGCATGGCTGTGTGCGTCCCTGTTTCTCTCTCTCCTTCCCACTCGTGCCGCACTGACGCCGCCTCTCCTCGTCCTGCAGGCCCAAGCCGGTGCGTTCTCTCTCTCTCCTCGAGCTTTCCCGCACCGCCTGAACCTCGCGAGCTCACTCGTCCTCGCCCTCGCAGTTCTACGAGTACTTCGTCACCCTCATGCCGCAGGACCGCATCGAGCACCGCGCGCACCTGCTCAAGTCGAGCGAGACGATCGACATCCCGCCGCCGACCATCACCGAGCCGTTCGTCCGTCAGCAGGAGTCGTACGACCCTCGCGACCCGCAGCCGCTGTCGACGTACGGCGAGACGACGAGGGGCCCGCTCGGGTGGATCGTGCACGCGAGGAGCGGCGACAAGGGCTCGGATTCCAACGTCGGGTTCTTCGTCCGTCACGACGACGAGTTCCCCTGGCTCAAGGACCTGTGCGTGTGCTCTCTCTTCCTCTCTCTCTATCGCCTCTTCCTCGTCGACTGACGTACTGTACCTCGTCGTGCGCAGGCTCACGATCGACAAGGTCAAGGAGCTCCTTGGTCGCGACGCAAGCCGGGCCAAACGCATCGACCGCTTCGAGCTGCCGCACCTCAAGGCCGTCCACTTCCTCCTCAAGGACCACCTCGACCGCGGCGTCGCGAGCACGTCGAGCTACGACTGCCTCGGCAAAAACGTCGCCGAGTACCTCAGGTGCAAGCACGTCGACCTGCCGCAAAAGTTCCTCGAGCGCGGCAAGATCTGAGCAGCCGAGCTGTAGCTCTCGATGAGCCGTGGATTGTACACATACCCTCGTCGCACTCGCAGAACCTCGACATCATCGAGCGAGAACGAGAGCAAAAGCGAAAGAGCTCCCCTTGCGCTCGGCCCGCCCCTTTGCCGCTCGCGCGCGCTCTTTGCCCAGCCCTTCTCTCGCCTCGCACGCTCGAGAGCAAAAGACACCTGCGATGCATGTGCGGCGACGATACGAGAACGACGAAAGCAGCAAACCCCCTTCTCCTCGAGTCGACCTTCCCAAGTCGCGCTCGCCCACCCTCCTCCCTAGCTCCCTCCCTCGAGACAAGCGGGCCTCGCCGTCGAGAGAGCCCGGCGTGACGAGCCCTCGCTCAAGCCGCCTCGAGGGTGACGAGCGGGGTCTGCGGGCGGTACGACGCGCGGCGAGTGGGCGAGAAGGGCGGCGGCGGCGCGAGGAGGCCTGAGCGTCCGCTCGAGGCCGGCGCCGGCGCAGACGAGAGGGCCATGTCGGGCGTCGAGCGTGAGTGCGGGAGAATGTGCGGCGATGGGCGAAGCGAGTTGCGCTGAGGGCGGGAAGGACGAGTAGGAGCGAGAGGGATGCCCGAGGGCGAGGGCGAGGGCGGGGGTGGCGCGAGCGAGTATCGCTGCGGCTGCTGCGGCACGAGAGGGCGGACAAGCCCTTGCTGGCGCTGCAGCGCCTGGAGGTCCGGCGCCGAGAGCGCGTGCATCGGCTGGTGGTACAGCGGCGGTTCGAGCCCTCGCCCTTGCCCCGGCGGCGCTCCCCACGCGTCGCCGTACCCCTGGTGCGGCACCGCGAGGTACGCGCCGCACGAGCGCGAGTGCACGAGCTGAGGCGCCGCCGCCGCCGCCGCTGCCGGACCCGGACCCGGGCCGGGCGTCGTCGTCGAGCGGCGGCGCGCCTCGCCCGTTGCGTGCATGGCCCGCGTCCTCCTGCGCTGCTCCTCGGCCCGCCTGCGTGCCCTCTCCCCCTCCCTCGCGGCGTCCTCCTCCCGGCGGCGGCACGCCTCACGCGCGCGCAGCCGGCCCAGCTCGGCCTCGAGGCGCGCCGTCTTGCGCTGCTCGGCCGCGAGGAGCGCGAGCTGCGCCGTGCTCGGCGCCGTCGGGGTCGTCGGGCGGGAGCGCGAGCGCGGTGAGGCCGGCCGGGGCGGACCGAGCGCGGCGGGCGGAAGGAGGCGCGAGGCGCGCTGCGGCGAGCGCGGGAGAGTCGCGAGTGGGCGCTCGTCCTCGTCCTCGTCTTCGACCTCGACGACGCGCTCCTCCTTCTCCTCCTCCTCGCCGCCGCCAGGGCGCGACCCGGTAAGGCGCGCCTCGGCATCCTGCCGCGCGAGCTGCCGCAGGAGGAGCGGGCCCGGACCCGGACCCGGGCCCGGGCCTGGGACGAGCGGCGTGCGCGTCGGCGGCGGCGAGAGAGCGGGCAGGGGCGGCAGGGCACGCGAGCCGTAGTCGCTCACGGCGGCGGCGCCGACGAGCCACGGCCCGACGGGCGACGGCGAAGACGACGACGATGGCCCTCGACCGCCCGAGCGAGGCGGCGGTGGCGCCTCCCTCGGCGGCCTGCGCGCCGCGGCCGCCGCTCCCTCCCGCTCGCGCTCTCTCCCCGCCACTGCGTGGCCTCCCGCACCTTCCACCTCCGCCATCGCCATCGCCTCCAACCACGCCCTCGTCCCCCTGCTCCACCCCCTCTCGAGCCCCTCGCGCCCCCACCCGTCGCCCTCGCTTCTCAGCCGCGCGCGCACCACGTCCGTCCCGCCGCTGCCGCCACTCGCAGTGTGCACGAGGACGCGCTCAGGGAAGGGCGGGCGCGCGGCCCACTCGCGCAGGCGCGGGAGCGGGAGCGCGACGTGCGGCGGGGCGACCTGCGGCGGCGGCGGTACGTGCGGGCCCGAGCTCGTGCGCGCGAGCTCGGCGCGGTCGGTGCGCGTGACGCCGCGCACGAGCTTGAGTCGCAGTGCGCGGTGCGCGACGAGGGTGCGCAGGCCGTTTGCGGGGCGGCGGGCCGGGTGCCGTGCTCCTCCTGCTGCTCCTGCGGCGGTGGCGGCGGCGGCGGCGGCGAGCGGGTGCGTCGAGGCTGGGCCGGGCAGCGCGTGCGGGATGTGCGGAGGGAGCGCGAGCGCGGACGAGGAGGAGAGTGCGAGGGAGGGTACGAGGGACGGCGCAGGGCCCGCGAGGCGCGCGCGCGCGTGCGCAAACAGGCGCTCGACGGTGGGGTCGTAGTCGCGCGCGACGAGGAACGGCGAGGCCGGCGGTGGTGGTGCGCAGTAGAGGGGCGAGGCGGGCGGGGTGAGGAGGAGAGTCGCGGCGGCGGCGGCGGCGGCGGGCCGTGGTGGCGGGGCGCTCAGCCAGGCGTGGCCGCCTTTCGAGCCCTCGCCCTCGTCGTCGTCGCCCTCGTCGTTGTCGTCGTCCGACGCCTCGCCGTACGCGTCGACGCTCGCGGGCCGGCTCGTGCGCGCCTCGGACAACGACGACGGCAGCGCAAGGCGCGAGAGGCGCACCTTGAGGCGGGAGAACGAGCTGGCGAGCGCCGCTGGCTGGGCGCGAGCGGGCTGGGGAGGTGGATGCGCGGCGGGCGAGCAGGAGGCGAGGGTCGGGCCGGCGGCGGCGGTGACGACGGGCGCGAGGGCCGAGCGGTCGCCCTCGTGCTCGTGCTCGTGCTCGTGCTCGGTTCCGGCCTGCTGGTGCGCATCGGGCGGGCCCTCGAGCGGCGGCACAGGCCCACTCAGCTCGAACGGGGCGCCGAGGCTCGGCAGGTCGAGGGGCTCGAGCCTCGGGGGCAGGCTCGGGACCGCCGGCGCGAACTTGTCGCCCTCGCCCTCGCGGCCCTGCTCGTGCTCCTGCTCGCAACCGCCGCCCCCGCCCCGCAGCGACTTGCGGCTCGCGATGCGCCTGAAGAAGCGCCCGACGCGCCCTGCTCGCTCGTCGTCGTCGCCGCCACCGGCGGCCTCGCGCGAGCGGCTCTTGCTCCGGCTGCGCGTCGTGCGCAGCTTGTGCCCCGGCGCGGGCGCAGGCAGGGGCGCGAGGGAGGCCCTGCCGCCGTCGAGCTCGAGCTGGAGCGGGTGGGTTGACACGAGGCTCGGGCTCGCGTCGGGCTCGAAGTCGGTCGCGGGGGGTGTCGAGGGCCCAGAGGACGAGGTGGTCGAGGTGTGCGAGGTGGACGAGAGGGGCGGGGTCGAGGTCGGGGTTGGACGAGGGCGGGAGGGCCGACTCGAGGTGAGCGAGGGGAGGTCGGTGAGGCGGGTTGGTGCGCGTGTGAAGAGCGGCATGGTGCGGGCGGTCGGGGTGCTGCTGGAGGGTGCGAGTGGGTTAGCTTGCGGGTCGGCAGGAGAGGGGGAGGTGGGAGCTCACCTCGGGACGAACGAGGACGAGGTGGGGGGAGGGCGAGTCGGAACCTTGACGAGGCGTGGGTGCACGGTGCAGAGCGGCTCGCTGGGCGAGGGCGAGGGCGGGCTGGGTAACGAGCGACTGGAGGTGGGTCGTGGCAAAAGGAGAGAACGAGTTGGAGCGTCCCGAGACGAGCGACAGCGGGAACTCGGCTCGAGACAGGAGTCTCTCGAGGCTCGGCTTGGCGAGTGCGAGTCCGACTCGAGAGAGAGAGAGAGGGAGAGCAAGGTGACTGACAGCGGCACCCTCGCGCGCCGCCCCATTGAGCCGACGCCGTCAGACACCACGAGAGGCGGGCGACGAGGAGCGAGCACCTCAGCGGGGCTCGGATCATCGATCGAGCGACTGTGCTCGTCTTTGCGAGTCCCACCTGTTCGGTAGCTGCATCGCTCGAGTCGTCCCTCGTAGCGGCCCTGTCGCGGGCGAGGCCAACCCCGAGTCGGCGGAGAGCGACGACGACGAGCGACGGCGGACAGCTCTCCTTCCACCAGCTCTGACCAGCTAGCTGCCTTGCTCGACCAGGCCACGCTGCAACCGGCCACCCCTCGATGCAGCCCGGGCGACCACCACCACCCTCCTTCTTCGCCCCGCCCACCTCGTCCTCCGCCTCATCGTCCTCCAACAACCCGCCCCACCACCGCCCCGCCGAGCAGCGCGGCAGGGGCCGTGGCCGAGGCGGCCCGTCGCGAGGCTCTACCCGCGGCGGCGGCGGCGGCGCACCAGGCCCACCTCGGCACGCCAACCTCAGCTGGCGCAAGCCCGCCGACGCCCCTGCGCCCACGACTGCCGACACGACCGCACCCGCGAACTCGTTCGCCGCGTTCGGCAGCAGCAGCGCCGGCGCCCCGCCGCGCAGCGCCTTTGGGTCGTCGTCGGCGCCTGGCCCGAGTGCGTTCGGCGCGTTCGGGGGCGGCGGCTTCGCGACGACGACGTCGACGTCGAGCGCGTTCGGTGTGCCCTCGACGAGCGCGTTCGGCGGTGGTGGTGGAGCGGGCGCAGGCGCAGGCGCGTTCGGCACCTCGACCTCGTTCCCGACCGCGACGTCGTTCCCGTCCGCCTTTGCGCCCGCGTCCGCATTCGCGTCGACGTCGGCCTTCTCGTCCTCGTCCTCGGCGCCGGCGCCGTCTTCCGCGCCGCTCTTTCGCCGAGCGTCGAGCGAGGGACGCGAGGAGCAGGAGCAGGAGCAGGAAGAGGACGAGGACGACGAGGACGACGAGGACGAGCAGGACGAGCAGGACGAGCAGGACGAGCCCGAGCCGGTCGGGCAGCGCACGTCGGGCCAAATCTCGACGCTCGAGGTCCTCGGCGAGGACTCGGACGCGCGCAAGAAGCGGTTTGAGGCGACCCTGCCCAACAACCGGTACCTCGAGGTGCGTCGTCCCTCGCCCTCTCTCTCTGTCTCGGCGACAGCATCTGACTCTTGTCACGCGCAGCTCAAGCCGCTTCGCGAGGCGCAGCGCCTGCAGGCGATCAAGTCGGGCCTGATCCCGGACCCGTCCAAGCCGATGCGGCTCGACCAGGCGACCGACTTTGAGGGCACGTGCGTCGACATGTGCCCCGAGTGGGAGCGCGAGGAGCGCGAGTACCAGAACAACGTCGACCCGCTCGAGCGGTACCCGGGCACGACCCGCATCGACCCCTCGCGCGCCGTCAAGGCGTTCCACCGCCCGGCGGCCGGCAACGACCAGCCGCTCCCCTCGGACGTCCGCCCGCCTCGCGTCCTCCACCAGACGCTCGACTACCTGTTCCACACGCTCCTCCCGACGCTCCCGCTCGCCCAGACGCACCCGTTCCTGCGCGACCGCACCAGGTCGGTCCGCCAGGACTTTACCGTCCAGAACGTCCGTGGCCCGAGCGCCATCGAGTGCAACGAGCGCATCGCGCGGTACCACATCCTCGCTGTCGGTGCCCTGCGCGAGCAGAGCGGGTTCAGCGAGAGCCAGGAGCTCGAGCAGCTGCGCAAGGGTGCGCCCCTCGTCCTTCTTCCTCCCCCCCCTCTCTCCCTCCTCCTCCGAGCCCAGGACTGACCCTTTGCCCCGCCGTCACCCAGTCCTCAAGTCGCTCAACGAGTTCTACGACGACGCGCGCGTGTCGGGCGTCGCCGTCCCCTCGCCCAACGAGGCCGAGTTCCGCGCCTACAACCTCCTCACGCACCTGCGCGACCCGGACATCGTCTGGTCGACCGAGCTCCTGCCCCGGTCCCTCTTCACCCACCCGCTCCTCCAACGCGCCCTCGCCCTGCACCGCCTCGCCCAACGCGCCAACCTCGCCCGCGGCGAGCGCGCGTCCCCTTTTGCGTTCGCGCGCCTGTTCAAACTCGTCGCCGACCGCGACACGCCGTACCTGTTTGCGTGCATCCTCTGCACGCACTTTGCCGAGGTGCGCAAAGGGGCCCTCGAGGCGCTCAGGGCGGCGTTCCTGAGGCAGCACAGCGCGCTGCCGCTCGCGACCGTCGCGAGGATGCTCGGGTGCGACGACGAGGCCGAGGCGAGGAGCGTGTGCGAGCTGGTCGGGCTCGTCGTCAGGGTCGACGAGGGAGGGGTCGCGGTCGCAGAGATTCACAAGCAGGCGGTCCTCAAGGGTGCGTTGCGCTCTCCCTCTTTCTCTTTCTCTTTCTTTTCCCCTCTCTGTATTCCCTCCCTCTCCCTCTCTTCCTCTCTCTCTCTCTCTCGCTCCCTCCCTCTCTCTCTCTCTCCCTCTCTGCTCGATCGAGCGGTCCCTGACCATTCCTCCCCTTGTGCGCAGCCACGACGCTCAAGCCGCACGTCTCGCTGCGCCTCGTCGAGGCCAAGCGCGGCAAGGCGTCGTACCAGGACGTCATCGACGGCAAGACGTCCGGCGCCGCTCCTGTCGTCGCGGCGGCGCCCGTTCCCGCTCGACCGGCTCGCCCACCTCCCGCCGCCGTCGCGCCCGCACCCGCACCCGCACCTGCGCCTCGAACGGCGCCGACCCTGTCTGGCGCGGCACCGGCTTTCAGCTTCGCGCCCCGACCCGCAGCGTCGGCGTCCCCCCTCCCTACGCCGACCGACAGTCCGGCGCTCGGGCCCACACCGAGCTCGTCCGCGCCGCTCGCCGGGCTGAGCGCCGCAGCCCCCTCCTTCGTCCCCTCGTTCTCGCTCCCGACGGCGAGCGTGCCCGTCGCCGCCGCCGCCGCCTCGACCGCTCGTCCACCTGTACCCGCACCCGCCTTCCCGCCGTCGATGAGCGCCACGCCGCTCGCCGCCACCGCACCCGCCTTCTCGTTCGCGCCAGTACAAGCCGCCCCGACACCTCCACCACCGGCACCAACTCCCGCCGTGGCCGTCGCGGACGCTCGCCCGACCAAGCGCCTCCCGCCCTGCCTCCTGCGCACCGCCGTCTCGGCTGCGCCTTTCGTCCCCTCCTCCGCGCCCGTCGTCGCCGCACCACCTCGTCCCGCGTCGTCAACCACGCGACCGTCCCTCTCTCCCTCAGCGCGAGTCGCCGCCCCAACCCGCCGCGTCTCGCACCCGCGCTCGCCGCACCTCCAGCCCGTGCATCCGCCGCCGCCACACGCCCCTCACGCCGCCGAGGCGCCCTTTCCCTCGTCCGCCTCGGCCGCCGCCGTCGCCGTGCGCGCACAGCGCGTCGCAGCCCTCGCCGGCGCCCTCTCGGCCGAGCTCCTCGGCGCGCTCGCGCGCGCCGCTGCGGCCCAGTCGGCGGCTCGCGCGCTGCGCGAGCGGTGGGCTGCGGTGCGCGAGGGCGAGCGGCGTGAGCGGGCGGCGCTCGCGCAGAAGGTGGCGCGGCGCGCAGAGGACGAGCTCGGGAGGCTCGCGGTGCGGGAGGCGGTGCTGCGTGGAGTGGGGGACGAGGGGCGCAGGAAGGGCGCGTGGGAAGCGTGGAGGGGCGCACTGGGGGCGAGGAGGAGGTGGAAGGCGGAGCAGAGGGACAAGAAGCGCGTGCTGGACGAGGTGGTGAGGGGGATCGAGCGCGAGCGCGCCGAGGCGGACGACGACGGCGACGAGGTGCTCACCGACGAGGACGAGGATGACGACGGTGACGCCGGGCTCGCGGGCCTCGCCGACACCGGGCTCGACTTTGGCGGCCTGTCGCTCGGCGCCGTCGCGTCGTCGTCGTCCTCCTCCTCCAGGGCCAAGCTCGACCTCGCCCGCCGGGTTCGCGACGCCGCCGACATGCGCGACCGCATCTGGCAGCGCGGCACGTTCCTCAACCGCCTGTCGGCCGTCGCCTCGACCGCGCTCGCCCACCTGCCGCGCGCCCTCCCGACCCGCCCGACGTGGACCGCGCTCGTCGCCGTCGAGACGGCCCAGACGCCGTTCGCGGCTTGGCTCGCGTGCAAGCTCGACCTCGACCCGCGGCAGGGCACGGCAGAGGTCGATGCGCCGGCGGCCGATGTCGAGGTGCGCATGCTCGGCGAGGGGGACGAGCCGGTCGAATCGGTGCGTCTGCCTCTCTCTTCTCCCCTCTCGCCGTCGCGCGAAGCTTTAACTGACACGCACCACGACCTCTGCAGGAGCTCCGGTCGAGCGGCCTCGTCATCTTAGACTGCACGGCGAGCAAGTCGCGACCTCCCGAGTGCGTCCGCCTCTCCCTCGTCGAGCTCGTCAAGGACCGCGCCGGCTCACTCTCGTCTCGCACACCCTCCCACAGCTGGACATCCCTCCGCACCCGCCTGCACTCGCTCATCGCCCGAGCGTCCGACCACTCGCTGTTTCGCCCCGCCGTCCTCGCCGTCGTCTGCCCGACCCGGATCCTATCGACCGACGAGATGGCCGCACTGCGCGACCAGGTCCGCGACGAGCTGCAGCTGTCGGCGCTCGAGGGCCAAGGGAGCAAGGCGTCGGCGTGGGTCGTGCGGTTCGAGGGCGCCGAGGGCGAGTTTGAGAAGGAGGTGCGAGCGCTCGTCGGCACGGTCTCGGTGTGCGAGGAGCGCATCCCTCGGCCTATCGGCAGTGCGTCCTCATCTCTCTCTCGCTCCTGTCGACGAGGACGGCCTTGTCCTGACTTTCCCTCGACCCCTGCAGCCTACCTCGATCCGCTGCTTGCCACGTGGCAGCGCAGCTCGGCTCGGGCGTACAAGCTCTTGCAGGACGAGGGCGCAGGTGCGTCCCCTCGGCCTCTCTCCTTTCTCGGCACGAGCTTGACGCCCCTCTTGTCTCTCTCGCAGCACCGACTTTTGCGTCGATCTACCTCGAGCAGCTCCAGGACGCCGTCCGTCAAGCCGAGGCGGTCGCTTCGCCCGCGCCAAGATCTCGCCTCAAGTTCCCGCCGCTCGTCGCTACCGACACGTGAGTCCCCTCGTCCTCATGTCTGGATCTCATCGAGCAGGACTGACGCGTTCAGCCCACAGGTCCTTCCGCACCGCCCTCGAGCGCTACGCCGCCTTGCCCGACTTCCGGTCGGCCGGTCACTTCCCGGGTCTTGCCGTCGCCCTCGCACAGCGGCCTCCTCTCACCGATCGTGCGTCTCTCGCTCTCTCGCGTCCTTCTCGCCGCACAGCCTGACGCATCGTCGGCTCCGGCCACGCAGTTGCCCTCGCCCGCCTCACGATCGAGCACCTCGCCCAGTTCGCCGCCTCGACCCTCGCCTCGCTCAAGGTTCCCGCCGGCGCCCTCGACAAAGAGCTCCCCGACGCCCTCGCCCAACTCGACGGCGCCCTCACCGCCGCCGAGCTCAAGCTGCGCCCGCGCTCGCCCGCCCCGACGCCTCCCGCGACGCCGCAGCAGCGCGCGCCGGCCCCGTCGGGCAAGAAGCGCCGCGCGAGCGCGGCACCGTCCGAGCTGGGCACGAGCCCGAAGAAGCACAGCGGCGCCGCGAGGGACGAGCGCGACAGGCTGACCGCGCTCGAGGGAGTCATGAAGGACGCGAGGGCACTGTTGGCGAGGTAGAGCGGTGGTTCGTCGGGCATGCATTGCAGTTTATTGACGTGTTGTGCGCGACCGTGAGCGTGCGAGAGAGAGGCGGGCGAGCGAGCTTGAGCTGCGCAATCGCCTCGAAGCGGACGAGGAGAGCGGGCGCTCGCATTGCTGCAGGTGCACCGGTTCACTGCGAGCACAGTGTCGACGACGGGGCCGTGAGTACGCTGCGGTCTACGATGCTGTTCGAGACGAGCGAGCCGGGGTCTGAGCGTAGCCGGCTCTGGTCGAGTTCCCGCGGGAAGGTTGGACGCTCGTCCTCTCCCCGCTCGCTCTCCTTGCACAGCTGCACAGCACTCGCCTGCCATGCTGGCCCGACAGAGCACCCGCATGCCCGCACGCTGCACCCGCAGCTTGGCGACCGCTTCTGCCCCACGTCTGGCCTCGTCCTCCTCGTCTTCAAGTCGCGGCACCGCGACCGCCATGCCCCCGCCGCTCAAGGGCGTGCGCGTGCTCGATCTCACTCGAGTCCTCGCAGGTCCCTATGCCACCGTGAGCTTGCCCCTCTCCCTCTTCGGCTCGCCCTCCTTCCCCCACCCCACACCTCGAGGTTGCCCAGCAGCTCACTCGACCGACCGACCACAAGCTGACACCGCAATCTCCCGCACCGCAGATGATGCTCGCCGACTTGGGCGCCGAGGTCATCAAGGTCGAGCACCCAGAAAAGGGAGACGACACTCGCTCGTGTGCGTCCTCGCCTCGCCCTCTCTCCTTCTCTCGTCCCTCGCCCTCATGCTCACCTTCTCCCTTGACCTACAGGGATCCCGCCAAGCGCACCGCTCATCGAGATGCCGCCGACACCGCCTCCGTCACCCTCGCTCGACGGCGAGCCTGCTCTGCGCGTCGACGACTGGAACTCGCTTCCGCCCGAGTCGGCCTACTTCCTCCAGGTGCGTCCTCGCTCTCTTTTCCGCCTCCCTCGACGTGACCTGACAATGAGGCGCAACAGGTGAACCGGGGAAAGAGGAGTGTCGGGCTCGACTTCAAGAAGGAAGAGGGCAAGGAGATCCTGCGAGAGCTCGTCAAGCGCGCCGACGTCCTGGTGCGTCTTCTTTCCCTTTCTGCTCGAGGGAACGTGACCCTGACGTCGATCGAGTGTGCGCAGGTCGAGAACTACGTGCCGGGTGGGCCGCAACGAGCCTTCTTCGCGGCGAACGCGCGCACTGACCCCTCCTTCCTCGCGCAGGGAAACTCGCCGAGATGGGCTTTGGGTACGAGGCGTGTCGCGAGCTCAACTATAAGCTCGTCTACGCGTCCGTGTCGGGTGCGTCCTGCGCTCTCTCGATCTCGCTCCTTCGAAACCGCGCACTGACCTGCCTCGTTCGTACAGGTTACGGCCAGTCGGGCCCGTACTCGCGCAACCCGGGCTACGACGTCAACATGTGCGTCGTGACCATCTCCCTCTGTCTGCGACCTTGACACTGACACCCTGTCGCGTCACTGCAGCGAGGCTGAAGCGGGCCTGATGCACATCACGGGCGAGGCGAACGGGCCGCCGGTCAAGGTCGGCGTCGCCATCACGGGTGCGCACCCTCTCTCCCTGCTACGCACCTGCTCCACACGACGAAGCCTGACCCTCGCTTGCCCGCCCGCAGACCTGACGACGGGCCTGTACGCCAAGTCGGCCATCCTCGCCGGCCTGCTGTCGCGCGCCCAGACGGGCGAGGGCATGCACATCGACGTCAACCTGTTCGAGTCGCAGATCGCGTCGCTCGCCAACATTGCGAGCAACTACCTGATTGCTGGGCAGGAGGCGACTCGGCAAGGGACGGCGCACCCGAGGTCCGTCCCCTCGTTCGCTCGTTCTCTCTCGTTGTTGCACGCGACCTGACTCTCGCGCCGCAGCATCGTACCCTACCAGGTGTTCCCGACTCAGGACGGCTTTGTCATGATCGGCGCTGGCAACGGTGCGTCCACGGCTCGCCCTCTCTCCCTCTCTCGAACCTCGAACCTGACCAAGCCGCTTCCCTCTCTCTCTCGCAGACGGCCAGTTCAAGAAGCTGTCGACGCTCCTCGCGCGAGACGAGTGGGCGACGTCGCCCTCGTTCAGCACCAACAGCCAACGGGTCGCGAACCGGTCGACGCTCGTGCCCCTGATCGAGGACGCGCTCGGCGCGCACCCGACGGCGCACTGGCTCGAGCGGTTCAAGGGCGGCGGGTTCCCGTTCGCGCCCGTCAACGACATCAAGGGCACGTTTGAGCACCCGCAGACGGTCGCGAGGGACATGGTGCGCGAGGTGGACCACCCGAGGGCGGGCAAGATCAAGCTCGTCGCGCCCGCCGTCCAGTACAACGGCCACCGCATGGAGGTGCGTCCCCTCTCTTTCTCTCTCTGTGCCTCTCTCTCCGTCGACTGACGAGCGCGCCCCTCGTCGCAGTTCACGCGCCCGCCGCCGGTCCTCAAGCAGCACTCGGTCGAGGTCCTGCGCGAGCTTGGCTACTCGGACCGCCGCATCGCCGAGCTGCAGCACAAGCGCGTCATCTAAACACTCGAGTAGCTGAAAAGAGCGACTACAGCATCTCTCGAGCTCGTCGTCGGCGCCGAGAGAAAGAGAGAGAGAGACACGGCCAAGTTGCTCAAGGAGAGGCGAGGACTGCGCTACGACCGCCACCTCCTCAGGACCTCCTCGCCGACGTCCGACCCGATCTGGCCAAGCCCGTTCCCAATCTCGCCCGCCACGTCCTTGAGGTCACGGTCGACGAGGGCGCCCCTGCCGCCGCGCACGAACCCCCACCAGACGGCGACGGCGTACACGAGGTGGAGGCCGGCGACGACGACGATGAGGATGCGCGCCGAGACGTTGGGGGCCGTTGCGAGGATCGGGTACAGGTTGCGCACGAGGAAGAAGAGCGACAGGAGGGTGCCGACGAGGGCGAACGCGCCCGAGACAAAGCTGACCGGGATGAGCGAGAGCCACTGCGCCGCGCAATCGAGACTCAGTAGCTTGCTCTTGTGCGAGAGAGAGAGCGGGGACGCACGGCGACGAGGATCCAGACGGTCGACGAGTAGCCGTACAAGCTGACGATCTCGACGGGGGAGCGGTCCGACGCGCCGGCCCAGTACTTGATGGCGGCCCACACGAGCAGTGGCACGCCGAGGTAGTACGTGTACCTGCGGGTGCGCGAGGTGAGTCTCCGCGACTCTGCGAGAGAGGGAGGGAGGGACGCACACGATCGAGGTGGCTGCTCCCAAGCGGGTAAAGTCGTACGTGTACTCGGCGTCGTCGAGGTAGGCCGCGATCGACGTGTACAGCGACGAGGTGAGGAACAGCGAAAACACGAGCGTCGTCGGGACCCAGAACGGCCCTGTTTCGCGCGCGCAAGGGAGAGAGAGAGAGTTAGGAATGGCGTCCACGACGAGGAGGACAGGAGGGCTCACCGTAGAGGTCCGGAGCGCCCTCGAGCACCTCGCCGACATAGTCCTCCTTGGGCAACAGCGTCTTGTAGCACCGCTCGAGGACCTTGGCCGTGTTGACGTCGAACCAGCTCGAGTCTGCGGCGGGCGGGTCCGAGGGTCAGTGACAGGCCCAAGTTGCAGAGAACGACGACGCACAAAAGTCGAGGTTGAGGACGCCGCCGCTCTTTGTGGCGCCGTCGATCGAGCTGCCGAGGCGCTGCTCTGCGCTGTACAAGTCCTGGCCTGCGCGCACATGTAGGGAGGGCGACGACGACGACGAGGCGCCGTTGGGCGAGATGCGGCCGAGCGGGACGTCGGGCTGGATGGAACCGGTGCTGAAGTCTGTTTGCACGAGTTCAGCCTTCCTGGCTCGTCCACCCAACGCGTGGCGAGAGAGAGAGGGGGGCGCACCTTGGAAGGCGAGGTTGCCCGCGCCCGTCTCGTCCACGTCAAAGATCGTGTCCTGCCGCGGCATGCTGGCGGGTGCTGTGGTGTGTGCGGTCGAGTGCAGCTAGTCGCAGCTCGTGCGAGGGGCGAGGCGGTCGAGCAAAGCGGTTCGCCTCCATCGCGTCGTCGTCGTCGGAGGCGCGCCTCCCCTCGACCTAGCTGATGAGACACTCCGGAAACGAGCGGGGGCCGAGGTCGATGGCCAAGTTCGACGGTTCCGAGCTGTGCGCTGCTCAGCGAAGCGCCCTGCACTTCGATCGACAGCGTGCCAGTGATGCGCCTGAGCCGCCCCACACGCTCGCGCTCGCCGCCCGTGCTCCCGCTCGCCTCTCGCTCTCCTCCCTCCTCGCTCAGGCTTGCTCCTCGCTTCTCGCACCCGCACACTCGCACACCATGGTCGCCTCGGTCGCAGTCATCCAAGGCGCCGGCGGCTCGCTCGGCTCGCACTTTGCCCGTCACCTCCTCAAACGCACCTCGCTCTCGGTCGTCGGCACCTCGCGCGACCCGGCCGCCGCCAAAAAGGCCATCCTCGACGGCGCAGGCGACGGCTTTGACCCCTCGAGGTTGACCGTCCTCGAGCTCGACGTCAAGCGCGAGGACTCGGTCGCCCAGGCCGCGAGCGACGTCGAGAAGCGGTTTGGCGCAAAGAGCCTCCGGTTGCTCATCAACGCGAGCGGCGTCGTGCGTCCCCGACTCTCTCTCGACTCTCAAGAGCCGACGACGAACCTGACTCTCGAGAACCTGTCCCCGCAGCTCCACGCCGACAAGTCGATCCGCCAGGTCGACATGGACCAGCTCCTCGAGACGTTCCAGCTCAACACGTTCGGCCACCTGTTGGCGTTCAAGCACTTTTGCCGGCTCCTGCCGCAAAAGAACGACATGCGCAAGTCGCAGGCCGACAGCGCCGACCAGGACCCGGCCAACGGCGCCGTCCACCCGGGCCTGAGCGTCCTCGCGAGCTTGACGGCCAAGGTCGGCTCGATGGGCGACAACAAGATGGGCGGTGCGTCCTACTCTCTCTCTCTCTGTGTGTGTGTGCGCCAGTCGTCGGGCCGCGAGAAGGACCGCGGCGCTGACTGTCCCTGCCGTCGACAGGCTGGATCGGGTACCGCGCGTCCAAGGCGGCCGCCAACCAGACGATCGTCACGCTCCAGCGCGAGCTCTCGATGCGCTCGACGCCGTCGATCGCGCTCGCGCTGCACCCGGGCACCGTCGTCGGGACCAACCTGTCCAAGCCGTGGACGCGCGAGGAGGATGCCGGCAAGAAGCCTGGCGTGCACGACGCCGACACGGCGACGGCCAAGCTGCTCGACGTCATTAGCGGGCTCGGCGAGAAGGACGGCGGGCGGTTCCTCAACTATGCCGGCGAGGAGCTCCCTTGGTGATTGCGAGCGAGGCTCGACCCTCGCACTGCAACTCTGTACAAAGCTCGTCTCGCGCTCTCGGTCTCGCTGCTCGAGAGTTGGCAAAGCGAGAGGTACACTGCAGACACGAGAGAGAGAGAGAGCTACACAAGGACGAGAGAAAGCGGGTACTGGGGAGACAGGACGAGGTCAAAGCGAGAACAAGCAGAACCTCCTCGGGAGACGACCAACGATGACGACGCCCCGCTCACACCCACACGTCCTGCTTCTGCAGCCCAGCAAAGAGGCTGCTCCTGCGCCTCGACTGCCCACCGCTCGGACGCACCGGCGCGCCCGTCTCGCCCTCGACGTCGCCAGCCTGCGCCGCGCCGCCGCCGCCGCCGCCACCGACGAGAGGCGACGCTGCCTGCTCAGTCTCGCCGGTAGCCGTCGGCGCCGTCGAGGTCGAGGTGGTCGTCGTGGCAGCATTCTTGCCCGAGATGGTGCGCATGAGGGCCGAGCCAAAGCCGCTCGGCTGCTGCGGGCTCGAGTCGGCGGCGGCGGGCGGGTGGAGGAGCGCCTCGACGCGGCGGCGGAACGTGTCGGCCTCGCTGCGGTGCGAGAAGGTGCCGAGTCAGTCTCGATGCCGAGAAGGTGGAGGAGAGAGCGAGAGAGCGAGACGTACTTCATGAGGAGGACGTCCTTGAAGACGAACCCGATCGTGACCTCCCTCCTGTTCCCCTCCTGCCCGACGACCTCGAGCCCTTTGTCCTTGTCGACGACGTCGAGCTCGACGATGGGCGCCGACACGAGGAGGGCGCTGTCCGACTCGGGCAGCTGGCCATTCTCGTCCTTGGGCGCCGCCGGGCCGGGTGCCGACGAGACGGGCGCGTCCTTGGACCCGGAGCCGAACGACGAGCGCTGCACCTTGCGGTGAGGGTAGAAGCGGAGCGAGTGGATGAGGGACGGCGAGCGGATGTAGAGCGCCGTGACGGGGTGGCCCTGCGCACGATCGCCGGAGAGTTCAGTCGGTGTCGCCGCTCGAGAGAGGGCGAAACGAGGACAAAGAGGACCGTCGAGCGCACCTTGTACGTCGGGAAAGGCGACGGCGCCTTCTCGGGCTCCTCAAACGTGAGCCCACCACGACCTCCCGCCGCCGCCTCCTCGCCACTCTGCCGGCGCGGCGGCGTCGTCGTCGTCGCCGCAGCGCCGCCGCCCGCCGTCGCCGTGCGAGGCGTGCGCTCACCCGTGCGCGTGCGCGTGAGCGACACGCCGTCGCCGCTGCCGGCCTCGCCGTGCGACGACGACGACGACGACTTGCCCGGCGTGACGGCCGAGACGACCTTCTTGACAAAGCCCGAGAAGCCGCCCTTGCTCTCGGCGGCGGCGTGCGGGTCGTCGTCGGTCGTCGTTGCGGTCGGGTCGCCGCCGGTGCCAGAGTCGCGCGACGTGGTGCGGCCGAACGAGCCGATGCTGAGGCGGCGGCCGAGCGACGCCATGCGCGCCCTGCTGCGGTCGACGTGCACGGGCGGCTTCTTCTGGTTGATGACGAGGACAATCTCGCCGAGCTGTAGGCGTGGGGACAAAGAGGAGAGTCAAGTCTGCTCGGTGCGAGAGGGAGCAGGAGCGACGACGAGAACGGGCGAACGGACCTTGGTGACCCAGAGCGTGCCCTCGACGACCCACTCCTCGTCGCCCTCGCGCTCCCTCAGCTTCTTGCCGCCCTTGACGCCGACCGTGCCCTCGGGCCAGAGCACGACCTGGGCCTTGACGCGGCCGTACGCGAGCCAGTCGCCCTTGGCGACACTGGGCGGCTCGACGTTGGGCTCGCCCGGGACGCCGCTCGACGGAGCTGGCGCAGGGTCCGAGGTGCGCAGGGTGGCGAACTGGGCGGCCGTGTGCTCGAGGGCGGCGTTGTGCTCGAGGGTCGAGCCGGTCGCGGACGAGGGCGTGAGCGAGGCGGCGTCGCTCGTGCGGCGATCGGCGTGCGGGTTCGGGGCAGTCGGGCTGGACGACGAGGCGGCGGATGTGCTGCCGGCGGATGTGCTGCCGGCGGGCGAGGTGGCGGACGACGTCGAGTGGGTGGGAGCAGAGGGCTGGGCCGGATCAGGGTGGGCGGTGAGGTCGCGCGTGAGGAAATCCTGTGTGCGAGAGTGCGTGTGAGTGCTGCGATGGCTCGTGAGAGCGGGCTGTGCTGCGTACCATGGCAGCTGGCGGTCGTGCGAGGGCGGGAGTTCGAGTCGGAGATGAAGGGCGGTGCAGGTGGGGGCGGCGGACGAGATGAGGGCGAGTGGACCACGCAAGGCTGTGCGCGCTGTCGGGTAGGTGTGCGTGCTGCTCGAGAGGGTGCTCGCAAGAGCGTGAGCTGGTTGAAGCGGGAGAGCAAGAGCAAGTGGGCGCCGCTTCTTCGTCCTTCTCGAGTCGTCTGACCTCCGTCCCGCATCTCACGGGTTCTCAGCATCGAGAGCAGAGTCGCACTTGCACAGCCTCTCGAGAGACTCCCACCCTGCGAGACCAGACCCAGAGATGCGCGTGCTCTCCTCCTCCTCGTCCTCGTCCTGTCGCTTCGACACGAGCCGCTCGCCATCGCCGCTCTCTCGACCCACAGAGAAGCACACAGAGAGTGAAGAGAGTCATGCGAGATGCGAGGGTACTACTACCTAAGAGAGAGAGAGACAGCCTTCGAGGGCTCACCGTTTTGACCCGCCGATGCTCCTACTCAGCCACCGCTCGTCCTTGCGCTCGGGCCGCTCGGCGACGAGGTGCGGCGGCACGAACGCCCCATCGTCGTCGTCGTCCTCCTCCTCCTCCTCCCCTTCGGCGCCCTCCTCGTCGGCGACCGTGACGCCCTCGGCGGCCGCCGTCCCGCTGCTGAGCGCGCCGCGGTCGACGTGCCCCTGCTCGTGCGCGTGCTGCTGCTGCTGCGCACCATTGCGGTCCTCGGCCTCGGCCCGGCGCCCAAACGACGCAGGCGCGTTGCGCAAGCTCTGCGCGAGGCTCGACGACATGGCGACGCTCGCGCCCTGCCCTTGCGCCTGGCCCTGCCCGTGCTGGCCCGACGACGCGCCCGTGCCGGGCATGCCGCTGATGCCCGTCCCACCCGCGCTCGTCGGGCGAGGCGTCGCCGGGCTCTCGATCTCGAGCGCCGCGCTCGGCGGCTCGACGGGCAGGACGGCGGCGCCACCTCCCGCCGTCGGGATCGTGCGCGCGCCCGACGCCGCTGACGACGACGAGGCGCCCTTGATGGGCGGGACGAGCGGCTGCTCGCGACCTTGGGCGAGCGACGTCTTGCGCTCGCGCGCCTGGGCCCAGTCGCGCTCCGGGTCCGGGCGCCACGACGACAGGGCGGCGTTGACGGACGACGGGCGGCCGAGCGCGATCGGGAGCGAGCCGACCTGGTGCTGCTGGTGCTGCTGCTGCTGTTGCGCGCCACGAGGGCCGCCGGTGCTGTTGGGCGACGTGAGCCCGCTCATGGCGAGCCCGGCGGCGCTCGAGCCTCCTCCGAGGTCGGGCACGACGTCGTCCTCCTCGCTCGTCTCGGCGCTGTCGGTCCCGTCGTCGTCGGCCTGGTACGTCGCCGCGTTGGGCGTGTCGACGCTCGCGCGCCGGCGCATCGAGTGCAGCGGCCGGTGGCTCGGCACGTCCATGGCGAGCACGTCGCGGATCTTTTGCTCGCCGCGCCGCACGTCGCGAGGGTCGGGCCCGCCACCGCCGCCGCTGCTGCGGCCGAGGCGCGAGTGCTCGAGCGTCGACGAGGCGAGCGCGGCTTGGGCGTCCTCGCGGGCCGAGGTGGCCGTCTGGCGGTGCGCCTCAGGCGGCGAGAAGGGCGGGAGCGCCGAGTTTTGCTCGCCGGCGGCGCGGGGAGCGGGCGAGGCACGGCTCGCCGGCGAGCCGTAGGCGCGCGTGGCGCTGACCGAGGGCGAGACGGGGAGGCCGACGGCGGGCGAGTGCGGCGAGGCGCGCATCTTGGGCGAGTGGGTCGCGAGGAGGGCGTTGTACGATGCCGACAGGGCCGACGCGCGCTGGAACGAGCCGGGCCGGAAGCTGGACGAGACGGCCGACTGCTGCTGGTGCTGCTGACCGTGCGACGGCCCGTTGCCGACCTCGAGACTCGGGCTGTCGAGCGGGACGGTCCTCGGCTGCGGCGAGCCAAGGTCGAACGCGTCGACGTCGACGTCCTCGTCCATCTCGAACGGTTGGTCCTCCTCTGCAGGCGTAAGGGCTCGAGTCAGTCTCGCGCACACGAGAGAGGGGAGGGAAAGGAGAAACGGCGACGACGCACCCTCGTCCTGCTCGGCGCTCTTCTGCCGCTCCCTCTGGGCCCGCTCGCCGAGCCGCTCGCTCCTCGCCGCCGGCTCGGGCGCGTCGCCCTTGTCGCTCGGCGTGACCGAGAGCTCCTCGCTCTCGGGGATGGCGACGAGCGGGTGGCCGGCCGCATGGAACGTCGGCGTCGTGCCCGTCGAGCTGCCGCCGCCGCCGCCGTTGCTGCCGCGAGTCGTCGGCTGCCCGGCGCCCGCAGAAGAAGGCGACAGGAAGCCGTTCGAGCCGCCGCGAGGGTCGCCACGGGGCGTCGTCGTGTTGCCGTCGCGCTGGTGGTCGCGGTTGCGGTCGCGCCCTCGCCGGTCGGCGGCGCCCTCGTCGTCCTCCTCGTCCTCCTCCTCGAGCGTCGCCGGGATGTTCTCGCCCTTGCGCGGCCCGCGCCCTCGGCCCCTCGACTCGGCCGACGCCGATGCCGACCCGGACCCTGGCTCGCCCGCCTCGCCGCGCTCGCGACTCGAGCTCTCGCCCTGCCGCACCGTCGAGCCCGACGCCGACGCCGACGTCGACGCGTCCTCGAGCACCTTGGCGTTGGCCTCGGCGAGCGCCTTGGTCCTGCTGCGGCTGCGCTGCGACGCCGAGCCGGCCGCCGCCGCCTGCGCGTGCGCGTGCGCGTGCGCCTGCGTCTGCGTCGACGGCGGGCCCGCCTCGTCGCGCCTCGCGCGCGAGCGCGACCGCCCACGCTCGTCCTCCTCGCGCTCGTCCTGGGCGCGGATCAGGCTCGACACGTCCTCGTCCTTGTTGGTCGCGCGCGGGACCGACGACGACGAGGCCGAGGCCGAGGCCGAGGACGAAGCGTGCGGCGCAGGGCCTGCGCGCTCGACACTGCCGCGGCCCCGGCTCATGGGCCGCTCGCGGCTCCCACTCGCGCTCGAGCGCCTCGCCGCCTCGCCGCCACCGCCGCCGCCGCCTTCGACAACGTCAGCGACGGGCGTGCGCCCCCTCTCCCTGCTGCGGCTCACGCTCGCCCCGGCATCGACCTTCTGTCGAGCGCGCGCGTCACGCTCGTCGCGCGTGCGGAACCCGCGCACGATCCCCTCCTCTTTGCCCGCGACGTGGCCGTCAAAGTTGTCGATGCGCGCCTCGAGGATCTCGAGCTCGGCTTTGGCGCGCCGGACGTAGGCGTCGTGGGTGCGGCGCAGCGCGACGAGCTCCTCGGCGGTGCGCTTGGCGGCCGACGAGAGGGCGCCGGTGAGGGTGCCGCCGAGGGTCGGGGGCGTGGTGGTGGCGGTGGAGGAGGTGGAGGACGAGTTGGTGGTCGAGGTCGAGGGCGGGACGATGAGGGCGGCGAGGCCGCGCGAGGCGGAGGTGGACGGGTTGGCCGGCGCGGGCGGGCGGTCGGGCGCCGAGAAGGACGCGCGCGAGGTGCGGCTCAGGCCGATCGAGAGCGGCGGGACCGACGCGTCGCTGCCCTGGGACGCGGCGCGACGTTGCGGCGACAGGAGCGGCGACAGGAGGGCGCGCTGGATCGTCGGCGAGTTGAGCATGCCGCTCGAGAGGCCGCCGCCGCCGGTGGTGGTGGTGGTGGTGCCGTCGTGAGGGCGCACGGCGGGCGTCGGCGGGGCGAGCGACGCCGGGTCAAAGTGCGGAGGGGGAAAGGTCGGGCCGTCGATGAGGACCTGGAAGGTCGACGAGTACAGCGGCGACGACTCGAGGTGGTCGGCCTCGGACGCCGGGAGGAAGCCCTCGTGCAGGGTGACGACCGTCGGCTTGGCCGCCTTGTGCTCGTCGTGCGCCGGCTCGCCCTCCTCGTCCTCGTCGTCCTCGTCGTCTATCGCAGACGACGAGCGGTGCTTGTCCGAGGCGGCATGGTCGTCGTCGTCGTCGGCCGGCGGCGGGAGGAGGGGCGTGGCGAGGGTCAAGAGGCGCTCGCCCGCGTTGATGCTCCACAGCGTCTGCTCCTCGGGCCGGATGCGCACGCTGACGAGTTGCGGGTAGCGCTGCGAGGGGCGTGCATCGGTGCGCAGTCAGTGCCCGTCGACGGTGACAGTCCGCGCGAGATTGACTCGGGTGGGGCGGGGGGCGACGCGGCGGCGACGTGCTCGCTCGCTCGGTGCTCGCGCTCGCTCGAGAGAGGGAGAGACGGGGACGCACAATCGACAGGCCGTCGTCCGAGTCGAGCTCGAGCTGGATTCCGTCAATCTGGCCCGGTGGGCCGTGCTGCACGATGCGGCCCCGGACCCGCACCGAGCAATCGCTCGAGACGAACTCGTGGCGGGCGAGCGAGTGCGCCGCCGGGGCCGGGGCGCTTGATGCAGGAGGGTGGCGGTCGGCGGCGGGCGGCATCGAGCCGCAGAGAGACGGTGGGTCGGGGGCGAGGTTGCTGGCGCTGGTGTGGGAGGAGAGCGAGGGACCGAGGGAGAGGTGGGGGCGACGTTACGCTCGCGACGACGACAGCGATCCGCTCGTCTCACCATTCTCTCTCTCGCTCTCTCGAGTGCACGCCCGTGGGGCAAAGGCAACGATGGCAGCGGAAATCAAGCGGGAATGCTACAAACGACAGAGAGTGGCACTGACAAAGCGGCACAGAAAAAACGACGACTCGACGAACGGCCGGCGGAGAACGAGGGAGGGATGACGAGAGAGAGAGGGACGAGCTGCGCGACGGGAACGAGGACCACCGTCAGGTCGTGCACGAGGAGGAGGAGAACAAAGAGAGCGAGGGCGCACCGACACCGACACCGCCGACACCGACACGGACGGTGCGCCTCACGTCCCACGCATGACGACCTCGGTCGGCCCGTCGCGCTCGCGGTGGGTCGGACAAAACTTGCCCGGCTGTTCCCAGAACTCGACGATGCACGGCTCGTGGAAGACGCAGTAGCACGACAGGCGCGCGAGGCGCTCGCCCGGCGCAAAGTCGTCGAGGCACATGATGCACTGTGCGGCGAGGTGGGGTCAGGGGGCGGCGCCGAGAGTGTGAGGGAGTGAGAGAGAGAGAGAGGGTGGGACGCACCTCGAGCGGCTCGAGCGTCTTGTCGTCCCTCGGCGTCGTCTTGTCGTCGCTGACGAACACTGCGCGCGGTCCTCCTCCTCGAGTCAGTACCTGGTCCTGCTCCTCGACCAAAGAAAGAGAACACCGAGCGACGCACCAACATGGTCCCTCGCCCCGCCCCCATGCCCACTCGTCGCCCCCTCGCAGCACGCCCCGACGTGCCTCACCTGGTCCTCGTCGCTCAGGCCGTCGAGCGCGGCCGAGCACACGGGGCACTCGCTCACGGTCGCGCCGCCGGCGTCGAGGCACTGGCGCAGGTGCACCTCGATCGCGTGCGGGTCGCCAGAGACGAACCCGGCGTCGCACTTGGGGCAGCGAGAGAGCGCGAGGTCGTCCTCCTCCTCGGCGGCGGCGACGGCGGGCGGCGGCGCCGGCGCAGGGGCGGCGACGTGCGGCGCGGCGTCGTCGACGGGCGCAGGCGCGAGCGCGGGCGCAGCAGCACGCGGCGAGTCGTCGTCGTCAAACACGACGCCCCAGCCCGCGCCGACGCCGAACGGCGCCCTCCTCTGCGCAGCAGGCGTCGCGTCCGGGCTCGGCTCCCTCGAAGAGGCCCTCCTCGCGCGCTTGAGCGCCGCCTGTGCCGCCTGGGCGCGCGGGCTCGAGGCGTCGCCCTGCCCCTGGCCCTGGCCCGGCGCGGCGGCGGCGGCGCCGTGCAGGTGCGCGAGGTGCGGATTTGGGTAGGCGGGGCCGGCGACGGGCGCGTGGGGCGCGTGGGGCGAGTGAGCGGGCGCGGGCGCGGGCGGTGCGGCGGGAGCGGGAGCGGGAGCGGGGGTCGGAGGAGGGAGGAGGTGCGCGAGGTGCTGGAGGGCGGCGGCGCGGGGCGAGGGGGCGGGCTGAGGAGCCGGCGCAGGTGGAGGGGGAGGAGGTGCTGCGGCGGCGGCTGCGGCGTGCTGGACGTCTGCGAGAGGGCGAGAGGGCGAGGGTCAGTCGCGGCTGAGAAAGAGAGAGGGAGAGGCGGGTCGAGCGCACCTTGCATGGGGTCGTCGTCGATGGGGAGGACGGCCTGGCCCTGCTCCCACTGCACAAAGTCGGGGTGGCCGCGCAGGATGGCATGGATCGTGTCGAAGTGAGGCTGCTGCTGGCGGATGACGGCTGCGGGGCGCACGAGGAGGGGGCAGAGGTCAGTGAGGCTCGGGGCGGCGCGAGCGCGAGAGCGAGAGACAGGAGGGACGGACCGAGGTTGGTCGACTCGTTGTACGGGTCAGACTTGAGGGTCAAGATCGCGTTCGAGTAGTCCTTGGCGATGCTGCGAGGAGAGAGAGTTGGTCAATGTCAACGAAGGGAGGTGGGGTGGAGGGTCGGCGGCGCCTCGTTTGAGGTGCGCCCGCCTCGAGAGGAGGTGGCAAAGGACAGGGTGAGAGAGAGTAGGGACGCACGCCTGGATCTTGCGGAGGACCGAGTCGGCCTGCTTCTTTGCGCGGGCGGGATCTCCCGCCGAGGAGAAGAGGGCGGCGGTGACGTGGTCGAGGACGTGTTGCCTGCGGAGCTTGAAGTCTTGCGACTTGCGGGTGATGGTGGTCCACACGAGGTGGTGTGTGTTGTCGTGGGTCGGGACGAGGGCGAGTTGGTCGACGAGGCGGTCGAGGTACTCTGGGTGCTTGACCCACTGGATCGACATGCCCGGGTCGACGGGGGCAGCTGGGGCGGCCATCGCTCCGGTCCGGTGCACTCGTGCGAGCTGTCGAGCACGAGGGCGAGGTGTGAGAGGGAGAGAGAGAGCTCGGCGGGGAGGAAGGCGACGCGACCTCCGACGTCCACTCCCTCTCGCCCAGACGCGCACTTGGACCCACGCACCAGCTGCGAGTACAGCCATGGCTCAGCCCGCAACCGCCACCGACCCGCCCGCGACCACGGCCGCCCCCTCGTCTCCCGCTCGAGGCGCCAACCCGGACGACCCCATGCTCAACGACGACGACCACCTCGACGAAGACGAAGACCAGCAGGAACTCTACGGTGAGCACCATCCTCTCGCCCATCCCCACCCACCCCCGCCTGTCGAGTGACGAGAGCAGGAGCCCCCTGCCCGCACCCGCCTCGTCCCTCGTCCCTCCCTCGAGCGAGCACGAGCACCGGGGCTGACCAAGGACGCCGCCATGCAGAGTCGTCCTCTTCTCCAAGCACCGAGACCGACACCCTCACCTGGATCAACTGGTGCGCCCACCTCGCCTCCTCCCCGGCCATCCGCACGTGCTGACTCGTCGCCTCTCTCTCCCTCTCTCTAGGTTCTGCTCCTTGCCCGGCCACGAGTACTTTTGCGAGGTCGCAGAGGTGCGTCCCCGCCTTCGGACGACCCTCCTCGAGCCGGCGAGCGACTCGGACCTGACCTCACTCTCGGCTCCTCGCGCAGGACTTTATCGAGGACGACTTCAACCTGACAGGCCTCGCGAGCCTCGTCCCGTTCTACAAGGAGGCCATGGAGATGGTCCTCGACGTCGAGCCCGGTGCGTCTCCCCCTTTCTCCCGCTCTCCGTCCTGTCGGCGCGGCAGCACCTCGCTGACTCGCGGCCCTCGCACGACGCAGAGGACGACGAGATCCACCGCGTGCCGGACGTGTCGATCGTCGAGTCGAGCGCAGAGCTCCTGTACGGCCTCATCCACCAGCGCTACATCCTCACCCGCCAGGGCCAGCAGCAGATGGTGCGTGCCCTCCCCTCTCCTTCCTCTCGCCCTGCCTCTCCCGACGTGCTCACACTCTCCTCCCCACGCACCGCAGTACGCCAAGTTTGACGCGGCCCACTTTGGCACGTGCCCGCGCGTGTACTGCACCCAGGCCAAGCTCGTGCCGTGCGGCAGGAGCGACCTCCCCGGCGTCGACACGGTCAAGCTCTTCTGCCCGAGCTGCCTCGACATGTACGTGCCGCCGAGCTCGCGCTTCCAGGGTGTCGACGGTGCGTCTCTCCCCCCTCTCTCTCTCCTTCTCCTGGGCGGCCTCGAGCGCTCTCGCTGACTCGGCCCCTCGCCCACCTTCGCAGGCGCCTTTTTCGGCACCACGTTCCCGCACCTCCTCTTCCAAACCTACCCGCCGCCGACCTCGCTCCCGGCACCCGCACCCGCCACGGCCGACCCGGCCGCGCGCGAGCCGACGACGCCGCTCACGAGCCTCGCAAAGGTCTACGTCCCGAGGATCTACGGCTTCAAGGTCTCGGAGCGCGCGAGGAGCGGGCCGAGGATGCAGTGGATGCGCATGCGGGTGCGTCGTTGTGTCCCTCTTTCTTTCTCTCGCTCTCGTCCTCGTCGATGCCGTCGCACCCCTCGAGCGCAGCCCTGACCAGCTCCCTTGCCCTCCCTGCCCCTCTTCGCTCGTCACCCTCTCTCTCTCGGACCCTCACCGCCACCCCGTCACGCACACGCACACGCACACGCATCAGCCCCGTGCCGAGGGCGAGATCGACTGGGACGACAACGCCGTCGCGCTCGACCCTGCCTCGGCAGCCGGCGGGTCCGGCGGCGCCGACGGCGGCAACGGGGCCAAGGGCGCCCTCTTTGACGACGACAACGTCGACGAGGAGGACGAGGCCGAGTCGGAGGAGGACGAGGACGGCGCCGGCGCCGGTGCGGCGGGTGGCGAGGGTGCGGGTGCGGGAGCGGCGGCCGCGGGCGACAAGATGGTGACGGCCGTCGCGTCGGCCCTCGGCGCCTCCAAGCTCGCCTCCCCGCCTGCGTCGTCGTCGTCCCCTGCGCCCGGCCCCGCTCCCGCTCCCGCACCGGCAGCGGCCGCACAGCGCGTCCTCCTCCCGCTCCGCACCGACCGCGAAATCAAGCCCCTCCCGCGCTCGCCCACCGCCCGCGCAGCAGCCGCAGCCGTCGCGTCGGCCTCTTCGTCGTCCGCGTCGACCACCGGCGCAGGTGCCGCTGCAGCGCACTCGTCGGCCTCGGCCTCGGCGTCGCCCAAACCGCCCACGTCGAGCAGCGCAACCGCGAGCGCGAGCGCGAGCGCGAGTGCCGCGTCGTCGGCGGCGAGTGCGGCGCTCGCGGCGACGATCCAGCGGCACCTCGCTGCTGCGGCGGCGGGCGGCGGCGCGGTGGGCCCGCCGGCGCGCGCGGTGGGCGGCGGTGGTGGTGGTGGTGGGGCCAGCGAGCGGCGCGAGGCGCCGGAGCGTGGGAGGACGGCGCACGTTGGCAGGACGGCGGTCGTCTGAGTGAGGGCGGGACGTGGCGAGGAGATGGTGCCGCTGCGTGGCGGGGCGTGCGCGGCGGGACGAGGAGGACCGGCGCGGCAGCGAGGAGGCGCGCGCCGGGCGGGTTTTGCGTAGTCGGTCGGCGCTTTCTTTCTCTCGGGGGTGCACGTGGGCGTTGGTGCGTTGTCATGCTGCTGTGCCTATCTCGTTCTCTGGCTGGTCGCGCGCACTGCGAGAGCGAGAGCTCGCTCGGCTGGAGCCGCTCGGACCGCTCTCTCCGTCTCGGCGCCCGCACTCTCGACTCTGCCTCCTCGCAGGCCTCGCAACCGGGCTCGGCCTGCTCGCCGATCGAGGTGCGCGCACGCAGCGGCGGCGAGGGCTCGCGCGCCGGTCCGCGGTCCGTGGCCTTCTCAACTTCGCTCGTCCGCCTCGTTCCAGCTCCACGCTCCGCTCCCCGCTCTCGCTGCTGCTGCTGCTGGTCAACGCGATGACTCTCCCGGCGACCTCAGCTGCGCCCTCTGCGCCCCGCCGCGCCTCGCGGTTTGACCCGTTCCTCGCCGCCTTCCTCCCAGCTCCCGGCGGCTCGCTCAGCGCAGCCGACGAGCGCGAGCGACTTGCGCGCGGGCACGACTGGTTCGACTCGGCGAGGGTCAAGGGCGCGCTCGAGCGCAGCGTCGCGCATCCGCTCGGGAGGGACGAGGCGCCGCAGTGGCTCGGGTACGAGAGCGCCGCCGAGGACTGGTGCGCCCGCCTCTCTCTCTCTTCCTTCTCCTAGTCGGCGACGAGCACACACTAACGACGTTGCACGACGCAGGGACGCCATGATGCAGGCGCAGTGGCACGACGCGCACGGACCGACCGTCGCCCACCTCGACCGCAAGCCGTCGCGCGTCCTCGACGTCGCGTGTGGCGTCCACGCGCACTGGATCGTCTCGACGGCGCAGCAACCCGGCTGGGAGCACACGCGCTTTGTCGGGCTCGACCTCGCGCCGAGCTTGGTGCCGCGAGCGATGCTGCCCAAGGCGGTGAGGAGCAGGGTTGCGCTCGTCGAGGCCAACTTGCTAGCCGGCCTGCCGTTCTTCGACGGCGAGTTCGACTTTGTGCGCGTCGGGTGCGTCAACTCGGCGATCCCAGGTGCGTCCAGCCGTCTCTCGCTCGCTCTCTCGGCGTCGACTGAAGCCCCTGTCTCCCTCGCAGAGGACGCCTGGGACCCGCTCGTCGAAGAGTGCCGCCGCGTCCTCAAGCCGGGTCACCAGCTCGAGGTCGTCGACACGCTCTTCAGCCTGTACATGCCGCGCCCGCTGCCCGTCATCATCGACGCGACCGAGCGCATCGTCCGTGCACGGTTCGTCACGCTCAACCTGCACGCCGCCATCCCGCCCGCCCTCGCCATGAACGAGCTCAAGGACATGCGCGCCGTCCAGCTCCCGGTCCTGCATGCGCCGGCGCACCCTCCCGCCACCACCGCCGCCGCCGCCGCCGCCGTCGCGACGAGCGAGAGCGACGCCAAGAAGGACCAGCACGCGCGCATCCTCCTCCACCTCTGGTCGCAGCGCATCGCGGCGCACGCCCTCCCGCTCGCCCTCGGCGTCGAGGACACGTACCGGGCCGAAGCGCCTCCCGGCGCACCTCGGCCCGCCAAGGCGTCGTCGGCCGCCGAGAAGGAGCGCCACATCCTCGAGTGGACGGGCGAGCTGCGCGAGATCGCGGGCGTCGCGAGCGTGCTCGAGCGCGAGTGGGGGTGGGCGTGCGCGTTTGACCGCAGGCTTGAGCGCAAGCTGGACGGGCAGGTGCGCTTGCTCGAGGGGGCGCTCGAGCGCGAGCGCGAGCGCGAGCGGGACGGCGACGAGCGGCGGCGGGCGGACGGCGGCGTGGGGCTCGCGCAGGGCGAGGTTCGCGAGGCGCTCGAGCAGCAGCAGCAGGTCGAGGCGGTCAAGCGCGAGGCGGAGCTAGAGCTCGTGCGAGTGCGGCGGCGACTTGGGCTCGAGGGCATGGAGCGCCCGTCCGAGCGGCAGACGATGGGCATCTTTGGTGGCGAGGCGTGGGTGTGCAGCAAGGGCACAGAGCGTGTGTAGCAGAGACTGAAACAGACGCGTGACCACGCACGAGCCGGTACGAGCGAGAGGGACCGAGAGCGAAGGCTCAGAGGTACATTCCATCGTCGTCGTCCTCTCCTCCTCCTGCGCGGCCCGACACACCGTTGACGCCTCCTGTCCGCGATGGTGCTGCTCCCGCCGCCGTCGTCGAAGACGCAGCCGCGACGCCCATGACCTCGCCATGCTCCCCTCCCTCGAGCGCCGCAGCCGGTGGTGGCGCCCTGCTCGCCGCGCTCGCCTGCGCGACGGCGTAGTGCGGGTTGCTCGCGTCGACGCCGACTTGCTCCTCGAGGGCGACGCGGATCATGGCGATGCGCTCGTGCTGCCGAGCACTGCGCCGCGGGCGAAACGCAGGGTCAGCTCGCTCCCCAAGCGTGCTCGAAGGGGGTGGACGCACATAGTCTCCTCGTTCTCCTTGACCGAGTCCTCGAACTCGCGCCGCGTGTCGTCGTCGAGCTCGTCGCCGTCGTCCCCGCGCACGAACGCCGCCAGCTCGTCGTTGCTCCGCTCGAGGTGCGCTATGCTGTTCTCGAGGCGGCCGATCTCTGCGTGTGCGTGCGGTGCAGGGTCAGCTTGGTGCGCTCGCTGGAGGTGGCAGAGGTGGGAGGGACGAGGGGGGGGGCTCACCGCCGACGAGGAGCTCTGGCTCGAGGAGGCGCAGCTGGGCGAGCGTGACGGGTTGGTCGTGCGTCGGGCGGAAGGGCGGCATGGCTGGCTGTCGAGTCTCTCGAGCAGGCGGCGTACGGGGCGAGGGTGTGGAGGGAGAGAACAGGCTTCGTTGCAGGAGAGTGTCGCGATCCAAGCGAAACTCGACGGCTGTAGGGAGAGCAGCGACGAGTATTATAAGGTGCGTGTCGGTCTAGGAGAGCTTCCATGCCGGCGGGCGTGGCAGCGACGGACCGTTCGGCTTGGTATAAGCTCTCCAAAGTTTCTGAAGAGCAAGAGAGGAGCGGCCGCCGCAGGCGCGCTTTTGGACAACGGGCGTGGTGCTCGAGGGGAGGCGCCGAATGAGGGTGCGACTTGGGCGAGGAAAACGTTCGCTCGCAGGCGCACCTCTCGCAACTCTCGCTTTCGCGCGCTCTCGACGACGCGCAGACGGGCAGGGGCAAACAAAGACGAGGTTTCCAAGGCATCATGGCAGTGTGAAAGGAGAAGGAGGAACGGGCACTGTAACTCGGGGGCGGGGGGGAGGAAGGAAAGCGGACGAGGGGGGGGGGG